GCTTAACTGAACGATAACTAGCAGTAACAAAAGCTCAAAGACTTTTACTTACTGTTTCTTTGTTGCTGCAAGGAAACCAACCATCTCCATGGCCTGTTTTAGTCTCTCAAATTCATGTTTGAGATCTTCCCCATCTTCAATTTTCAAGTTATGCTGTGAAGAGATCCATAATCAATATGCAAAGATTGAAGACAAAACATGACAAGAAAACAAGTGTAATCTGTTCTCCTTCCTGTAACCTGTAACACAACAGACAACACTTACCAATGCATTGGTAAATCCCTGGCACACATTACCTGGTTGAGGTAGAAATAATCTTCAGGTTGCTTGAGGTGAAATTCTTTACGCTCTAACCTCAGAAACGTAGCAAATAGTAAAAGACATGGTAGTTCCTGTGAAGTCAATACATTTCTTTCAGGAAAACACAATGGGTTTTGTTTTATTCTATAGAACTCAGGTGTTCTTAAACTGTTGCAGTGATTAGAATTCTCTGGTAAACTGTATTGATCTCTTACCTTTCATCTTTTTCTTGAGAAACCAGACGAGACTTTTCCAGCAGGTATTTTTCAACCACAGCCCTAAGGAGCCACAAAAAACAAAACAATATGAAGGCAAAAAGAGAGCTCAGAAAATATAAGAGAACAACTGCCAAGAGAGCTCAGATCATGAGATCTGCACTAAAACATACAAGGGAAAAGTTTAGTCACTACCTTAAACCTAAACCAAAAATTTCAGTGGGCCTATAGTGTGACTGGAACAAAGGAAAAAAGCATCTGTCTTCGGGGCTTGGGTTTAGTGGAGATGACTAAAACAGACAGACCAAGCAAGGAAAGTGCAGATGAAAAGAAAAAACAAGATACAGAGAGTGGTAACAGCATGTTACCCTGTGAGACTCAGTTATCTGACGAGCAATGCAAAGGCTACAAGATCCCCAAAACAATCCAGATAACTGTCTGGCTCTCAATCTAACACATTTGCTAAATTTTTATGAGTCTATATGTCAGCCTAAAATGGAAACCAGAGAGAGAAATCCCCTCACAGTGTGCCAAAGTAACCTCCTAACGATAATCCAGAGTCCTTCACATGGGACACAATGAATGAGGCCAAAGTTTGAGCAGCTTTTTCTCATGCTGAAGACAAAACAAGTGCATTCAAACTGTACCAATCTCCTGAGCTAGTGTGAGACTTGGCCTGAAAAGATGCCAGGTTTGTTCAGAGTAACACTCCAAGCCAACGTGGCACAGAGTTCCCAGACACTGATGTGTCTGCCAACACAGAGATGATCCAAAGCAAAGGCAGCAAGCAATTCCCACATGAGCAGAGCTCCAGCAAGGCAGCACTGGACACACAGCAGAGACTTCCCCAGGTCCTGAAGGCACAGAGATCACCCCCAGAACCACCTCGTGCTGCACTTACCCTCGGACAATGCCGTTCTCTAAATAGTTGACTTGAATGAACTTCCCAAAACGACTGGAGTTATTGTTATGTGCTGTTTTTGCATTTCCAAATGCCTGTAAATAAAGCAAAATGAGCTCAGTTAAACTAAATACAACAACACAGTTTCCAATGTCTTCTGTTCACAGTTCAGCCTCCCATTAGCTCCCAGTATGAACTGGAAATGGCAGCAAAGGCAGCTTAGGAAACCTCCACGTTCCTCACAGTTCTGGATATGTTTATTATTTGTCCATACAATAATATTTGAGGGACTGAGGGAAGGGAATAACACATCTAGATATTTCTAAGAGTGCAGGAAAAGTAATCACAGCTAGAGAGCACAAATGAGCCTCAATCACTAACAATTAGGGCCTTAGAGAGGATAT